TATGTTCGGGCGCCCGCACATAAATGCGCCGGCGGTTGCCATGGTACCCGCGGGCACCGCATTGGGACCACTGCATTAGGATATGCCATTAGGCTTCTAGGCTACAAGGGCACACTTGACTCATATCCAGTTTCTCATCCACTGTAATCCCCAGGTCCATTTCTGCTGAACTTCTTATCCAATCGTGAAATGAGGTTTACAGGATCGGTCAGCAAAGGCTTCCCCAGCCAACAGATCCGCATCTAGACTGCTGCGCTGTGCCGGATCAGCTGATCTTCAGCACAGCACGGCGGCCATGTTTATTTTAATGAAGCAGGAATTATTTAAATCCCCGCTTCTTTGCCTATGCCGGGTAAACTAGTTTACATGGCTCCGTCGACGGAGTCATGTAGTTTAGACATACCCTAACACATAGTGCAACTCCTCCTCCTTTTCTTCCCTGCCTGTCCTTCCTGAACAGTTTATACCCTTTCATGACAGTGCTTCAATTATGTGAGTCATCCCACCAACTCTCCATTATTCCAATCAAATCATAGTTCTTTCACTATGCCAGGGCTTCTAATTCTTCCCGTTTGTTTCCCAGGGTTCTTGCCTTCATGTCAAACACCTTAGATAACTAACGTATTGTCCTACCTTCTCCGTTTGAATCAGGGATCTTCCTTTGTTGCTCCTTCCTCCTTGTTTTTTTCCTGATATCCCACTTCCTCACTTATCTCAGGGCTTAGATCACTATCCTCTGACGAACCTAGTTTAAAGCCATCCTCACTAGGTTTTTGCAAGCCTACCTGTGAAAATACTCTTTCCTCTCTTGGTCGGGTGGATCCCAACTCTTCCAACAATTCTTGTGCCTAGAAGAGCATCCCATGATTGAGGAAACCAAAGCCCCCTCTCTGACACCACCTGTGCATCCATGCATTTACTTCCGAGATTCGATGATCCCGTCAGTGACCTTTTCCTTCAACAGGAAGGATGGATGAGAACATCACTTGTGCTTCAAATTCCTTGATCCTTCTTCCCAGTGCTACATAATCTGCAGTGACCTGCTCAAGGTCGTTCTTGGCCGTATCATTATTCCTACATGGAGAAGCAGGAAGGGGTAGCAATCTGAAGGTTTGATCAGTTTTGGAAGACTCTCGGTCACACCCTGAATTCTAGCTCCTGGTAAGCAGCATGCTTCTTGGGATTCCAGGTCTAGACAGCAGATAGATTACTCTGTTCCTCTTTGGAGGGAGTCCCAGACCACCAACACTTGTCCCAGGTCAGAGTTTCCTCACCCGGGTCAAAATTCATTCCTGCATGCCAGTCCCCTGCCCCAGGTCACAGCAACCTCTGACTTCACCCAAATTTCCTCTCAAACCCCACATCCTCTCCTGCACCCCAATCCCTTACCCTAAGCTCCCTTCTGCACCCAAACCCCACATCCCCTCCATAGAAAAGTGCGGCCCTTGACCATTTTCCAAAAATCTTTGAATTTATACCCTTTCATGACAGTGCTACTCCTTCCTGCTTCTCCATGTCCAATGCTTTCCACCACAGTTAGCTTTCCTCCACAGACTCTCCTATACACCTTTTCCTTGATCCTGACCATACGTCAGGTCATCCTTAAGCTCAAGCTGGCTCAGGCCAAGTTCATTCTCAGAGCTGCACTGTGGGCAAAACATAGCTGCTTCTCTGATCATCTCATGCTGTTTATTCAGCCTCCCATGTGACTTCATCTACATCACAGCCTGCTCAATCAGAACCATGGTTGCATCTTGCTTTGTGTGCTCAGCTCCCTGCAGCTGCATTCCTGAATGAGGAGAGCAGTGTTCAGTGGGTATCCAGCAAGTGCTGCTCAACAGTAGAAAGTCCTCTACCAAAATGGCAACTCAGCAGAATGGAAGCCTTTTTTGATAAGGTCATTAGCCTGTGGAATCCAGTTGAAACTGGCTTCTACTCTGGACATCTAAGAATACCTGCTACACTTTCAGAGGTGGGGGCTTACACTTAGTCCAGTGGTTCTCAAACCAAGAGGTGCTTGTGGCCCAGTCAGCACACATTGCAGATAATGATGTGATATACAGGAACTATATGTATTGTATGGATGCAGCCACATAATACACTTTACTACATAGTTCAAGAGCCATTCATTTAGTCCATTGACAGTGCATCTGACAGTCAGACCAGCATTTCATCCCCCTGTTTGTGGAAGATCAGTCTCCTCTACTGCCATGTTATTGAGACTCTTAAGGGGGCTTCTTCATCTGTATCTACTAGTTTGAGAGCTAGTTCCTCTGTAGGACCTCCATTTACCCCTGTTATCTTGTCCTCTTCCACTCTTGTGACAGAAAACTGATTTCCTGATAGCAATAAGGTCGGCAGAAACTGAGAGCTGCACACTCAGAGCACCTCCTTATACGCTGCTCTCCAAAAACAAGCTAACTTTACAGCCACACTCAAAATTTTGTCGTAAGTAGTCTCTGTTTCTTTGGAACAAGGTGGTCTATTTACTGGAGATTTTCACTAAACTGTATTCATTTCCAGAGGAACTGCATCTCCATAACTTAGATGTCAGGCAAGGTCTAACCTTTTATCTGGACAGAACTAAACTGCTTCATGTCTCACCTCATCGTTTGTACCATTTGCAGATTGCACAAAGGTTCAAGTGATCTCACAGTCTCCAAGTGGGTAACATCCTACATTGACGGCACATGAAATAGCCTTGGCTACCCCTTCAGCGCGAGTGAGCTCATTGTATTGAGGATGCAAGCAATGTCCAGAGCATTTCTTAGTGACATTGCCATACTGGACATTTCCAAGGCTGCTATGTGGTCATTGCTGCATACATTCATAATCACATCTTCCAGGGCAGAAGCAAGGTTTGATAAAGTGGCCCAGCAGACTCCGCCCCACCTCCAGGGTCACCTAAGTGGAATACACAGCTGCACCTACAGAAAGAACGGGTTACTTACTGTAACTAGCTCTTCAGAATGTGATGCAGATATGTATTCCATAATCCACTGTCCGTCCACTTTGCATCAGAGCCTCATGACATTAAGTGAAAAGGAGCTGAGGGAGAGTTGGCTGCCTCATGTAGCCAGGAGCGGGCCTATGGCCATGAAGCATGAGAACTGCCTCTCTACACGTACTGATAAGCAAAATTCTCCAGCTCCAGTGTGCTGCACTCACCCCCTCCACATTTCACAGCCACAGTTACAGTAAGTCACTACTTATTCTTATAGCACTGCATGCCCTAGTTGCCACCACATGGTCCCAAATAGTGTTCCCTGTAAGCTGGGAGCTCATGCAGCTGCTCAGGAGAAATTCCAGTGCCACCCACCTGATTCGCAGACAGCCCACAGCTAAGTTTTTTGTTTCTATTTGTGGTGCACATGCCTTAGTGCACATTAAAATATTCTGCACTTGTATGGAAACAAAAATGGCCATGGATGGAAAAGATTAGAGGGAACATTGGCCCCTCAGACCACGTAAGTCTGGGGATAACTTGATGCGTTAAAGGATGGATGGTCACGTGATTGAGGATCAGGTTAGATGCAGGTTATGTTCCATGGATATTCTGTGTGGTGGGTATTCTGTGCACACCTTTTCCTTTGTTTGGCATAGATGGTCTAATAAGCAGAATAACTTGTGCCATTTTGCTGTGGGGAGTTGTGTTCACTTTCTTCTATTGTATGTGATGCCATGTATTTCTGCTCTTGCTCCCCAGCTTTGCACAATGCTCTGCCTCAGCAGCCATCAAGACCCAGCAATCGAGCCGCAGCACTACCCCCTAAGCCTTCACGCCCTCCAGCGGCATCAACAGCCATAAGCCAACAGCCCATGATTCCCCAGCCACCTTTGCCTCAGCCTCCCCAGGTCCTCCTGGAGGATGAGGAGCCTCCCACACCTCACCACAGCCTGCCTCTGAGCACCAGCCAGATGCAGCTCTACCTTCAACAGCTGCAGAAAGTGCAGCCACAGACTCCTCTCCTCCCTTCAGTGAAGGTCCAGTCGCAGCCTCAGCCACCCCTTCAGCCTCCTGCTCATCCCTCAGTGCAACAGCTGCAGCAGCAGAGGCCGATGCACATGCAGCCCATGCAATTCCCTCCTCATATCCCTCAGCCTCAGCCACCACCGCAGCAGCATCCACCACCCCAGCAGCAGCAGCAGCCACAGCCAGCTAAACCTCAGCAAGTCATCCAGCACCACCCATCACCACGACACCATAAGCCTGACCCCTACTCAACCGGTGAGTGCTGAAATTTCCCCTCTTGAGTTCTTAACATCAGTGCAGCTAAAATTAGTAACAAATAGCGGGCACTGGATACTTGATTGAAACTTGATTTGCAAATACTAGTGATGAGAGTTGGCATCAGGCTTGGAGCACAGACAGTCATCAAGGAACATACATAGTCTCTGAGGAATTCCTTGGTAACTTGATACTCTAGTGAGGACTCTGAAGCCAGGTTCACACTAGGGAGAAGGTCAGCTTAAGGTATGCAATTCCAGCTACGTGGAAACATAGCTGAAGTCAATCTACCTTAAACCAAGCTTCAGTGCTGTCCTCACAGCAAGAGGTTGATGGAAAAAACTCCATTGACTTCTGTTACTCCTTGCAAGGAGTAGGAGTTAGGGCATGCCCTCAGTGTGTGAGTGAGTCTTTACTAGACCTGCGAAATTGAATGCCAGAAAATTGACCACTGCATTGTGGGGTTAAAAGTTGGGAAGCAGACTCGAACTTCTAGTGCTGTGCCTTGTTACAATTCATCCTAGTCCCTAATATCACTGAAGTCTAGCTTGCCCTAAAAACAAGGTTCTCCATCTAGAGAAAGTAGCTGTTTGCTTCCTTTGACAGGACATTTGGTTTTGATTTCATAGTAATAGCATTAATTAGGGTTCTTGATTCTGTTTGGATTTCAAGCTCTTGTGTTCTGTTGGCAAGCATGTTGTGAAGTTCCATGTGAAAGGATCAGAAGTGATTTGATTTAGTTGGGACTGATCTTGCTTTTAGCAGGGGGGGTTAGACTGGATGACCTCCTGAGATCTCTTACAACCTTATGATTCTGTAAGTACTTGTCTGCTAGTGTAATACCCAGTGAAAGTTAAGGGATGGTGACTTCTGAATATTGTTTACAAGTTAAGCATTTTAAGTTGTCCCCAAATAGTTTGTTAGATGATAAAACTCAAATATTTAAATTCTAGTGACAGTTGAACTCTGGAAAAAGCCAACATCTCCAGAATAGCCAGGCTAACATTGCAACACTAAACGTGTCGATATGTGTTAGTCCCCAGCAAGTGATCGTATGTCGTCAGATGCCCTTCCTAAAGTGCTTTCCTTGCCTTAATGACAGCTCTTCTACTGGGTTGTGCTCCAGTGGAGGCCCAGATGTAAAGGAAATTAACAGAAAATGCCTATGACTGCATGATTGGTTGTTCCCGGATTAGGCTGGTGGAAGTGTCAAGGAATGTGTTCAGACTGGTTCTTGAGACAGAGAGGACCTCAGCCCTCCTAGATATGCACAGAGTTTAAACACTTGTGCAGTTATTTCAGCTGATGATGGGAGTGATCTAGTCTCCCTCATAGTGATCTTGATCAAGATGATTTTCTCTACAACCTCTAACGAGTTTTGTTACATGATAATGGTGCATCAGCAGATGAGCGTTGAGTAAAGGACAAATATTTTTTTCCCAGTCTTAAACATTTAGCATGATTTCTTGTTGCTGCTCCTTAGCCTTATGGTGTTTTCGAGATGTTAAATAACTTCCCTTTTCATTGAACAAAAAATTAAATGAAAGTACCCTGGTGCTTCTTCGGTCCTTTATGCCCAAATGCATGAGTAAACAGAGATCTTGAGAGACTCTTGGCAGAGAAATGTAAGGGGAAAGTTTTAAAATAGTAAACGTTCAGTGATTCTCATGACAGAAATATCTCAGTGGAAGAAATTACACAGAGGAGCATATAAATGTTTAAAATATGAATGTGTCGGTGATGAAGGTGGTTCTTAGAGTGTTTGCTCATGTCCATTGCATATAGGTGTGCGCACACTGCATTCAGGAATCGTCGGAAGGTTTTTCCCTCAGCAGTACCCGTTGGGCCAGCGGGGGAGCCCCCAGGAGTGGTGCCCGTATATCGGTGCATATATACCCTTGCTGGCCCTCCACCCTCTCAGTTCCTTGATACTGCCCGTGACGTTGTTGGAACATCTCTCACTTGCTCAGCAAATGCGCCTTAGTGGTTCTTGTTTACATAGTTCGTGATACTAGTTCAAGTTTTTTGTAGTGTTATTTCTTCGTTAGTAGTAGTTTTTTATAGTGTAAGTAGTTAGAGGTTCACTCTTGCGTCCCCGTGCCTCTTGTGCAGGGTATGCCCCAGCCTCAAGGCTTTAAGCCCTGCATTAAGTGTCTTAAGCTGATGCCTTGTGGCTACCCCCATAAAGCCTGTTTAAAGTGCCTCAAGAAACGCATTTCGTGGACAACTGCAAGATCTGCTGTAACCTCAAGCCCTGTACCAAGCACAAAAGGGGCTTTTGGCTGACGATCCTGCTGATCTCCACCCGGCACCAACCAGAGTGCACTGGCTTTAGTGCAGGAGGCCCCAGGACATTCCCAGTTGTCTCTGCTGCTGCGGAGACATGGCCTGGCACCATTCCCAGTCCCTGGTGCTTAATAAGAAGCAGAGACCTAGCAGGAGCAGGTCTCCGTCAAGGCATGCGCCAGAAGTGCAGCTCTAGGTGGGGCACTCAGCTTCATTGGCTACGGTGCCCAGGGTCCCAACTCCTGGTCGACACCAGTTGAGCCGGCTCTGGGATCCAAGCCTGGATGACAGCTTGGCCAAAGTGGACTGGTCCGCCATGCCAAACACATTTGAGGCTGCAAGGTAACTCGTTGAGCTCACCTCTTCCCCGGCCTCTCCCTCCAGCACACTGTGAGGGCAAGACTCCTGTCCCTCCTGCACTGACTTACCAGCACCAACAGCCCCGGCACCACTACCCAGGCCTCATCCCAGGGGACATCAGTACTGTTGGCTTTGCAGCCTCTCTCAGTGCCTTCACCAGTGCACTGGACTCGGCACCATCCTCCAAGCTGGTCCCATCAGCGTGTATGTCCTCAGATCACCTGATGTCTCCTTCTCTGCCCCATTACCGGGGCAAGCTGTAGTCAATGGCTCCCCGGTACCAACTGCATCTGCTCTGCCATGGTCGGCCTTTGACTATTCTACTGACTCCAAGGCCAAATCAGGCCTCTCCAGTGATGTGGCATCCAGATTGTGCTTTCGGCACCACTCCTACTCATGGCACTATCCCCGGCACCAGAGTGTCTCAGCATAGGCCTTCCAGGCCTCATGCCTCCTCAGTGGCAGCCCCCGCTTGGTACAGTGAACCTGGGCCCAGGTTCTTCTTGGTCTAATTTGCCTACTTGAGCCCTAAAGTTCTGCCATCTGTGACCCTATTAGCCCACTCCCCTCTGCCCGTTCCCAGGCCTCCCGTAAACTGTTGCCCAGACTCTCGGGAGATGGGGTGGCGGAAACTGACTATGAGGCTGGCATGGAAGCAGTCTGTTGTCTCCCAAAATCTGGAGCAACATCGTCAGCAGGAGAGAAAAATCCTCCTCCTCATCCCCGAATGAGGCACTGGGGGGCTCCATGTCATCTATGCCTTCGATAGACTCGAGGTCCCTCCAGGATCTTCTAAAATGCCTTGCACAAAGTCTGAGGGTCTAGGCTGAGAGGGTATCAGAGGACTGGGATCCCACGGTGGATATTCTAGATGCAGATGCTTCGACCGGAGTGATGCTTCCCCTTAATAAAGCAGTGAGCAAAATCACCAAGATACTCTGGCAAACTCTAGCCTCCATCCCACCGACTGATAAGTAGATCGTGTGCAGATACTAGATCCCTCACTTGGGCCACAATCATGTGTTCTCCCCCCACCTCAACCCCCACCCCTTGCTGGCACAGTCAGGATCCCTTGTTCAGGTGGTGAACAACAGAGAACGGCAGCCAGGCCCAGCCACTAAGAACAGAGAGGGTAAAAAAAAAGATAACTGGCCACAAGGCATATGAC